TTAATAAATGTGGAAAAGACCCATAATTTATTGTTAGACAACCTATGATGTCAAAATGGAAGATAAAATGTATATTTTTTTCTGCTGTCATATAGAATACTCTGGCTGTAAATTATCCAGTTTAAAACTTATGGCTGTCTCACCATGTTACTTTACCACATACCAGGGATTCAAACAATTGTTGAGTGATAAATAAATGTGAGTATTTTCATGCTTGAGAGTTTGAACTCAACATAGGCCAAAGACCAATTTAAATGCATTCTCCCATGAATGTAAACAATCAAGGATTGGCTATAGCTATTTAGAAATGTTACTTTTAGGAACTGTGCTAGAATCCTCCTTCTATCATAACAAATTATCACAAATTGGAGCCCGAAATGCCTCCAATGATCCCTGCTTCCTGATATCCATGCCCTTGTGTAGGCCCCGTGCACACTGGATCTGTGCTGGCTTGGTAACTCACTGTAATAAACAGACGCATCGAAGTTCATATTGTGGCAGTAGTGAGACTAAACATGAAGACGCTTTCTCAGCGTTTGCTTTTGTGAGGCATCGGGTGAGATGAACCGCTTCCCTGAGAGACCACTAAAAGAGAGCGCATGGAAGGGCCATGGTAATGATTGTGATTATGGAACCAATTTTACAACTAAAATAATTTACCAAAAATCACTGAACTGTAGATGCAAAATGGATGCATTTTATGGAATGTCAGTTATACCTCAATAGAGTTGGTTAAAGTAAATAAGATTTATGTTCTATTTTGCCTGTGTCACAGCTCATTAATCAGGTTAGTTTCACTGAACATGCACACATTAGTTTAAACAATGATTTTGTGCCCATGATTTCTAAGCTCCAAAAGTTATAAAGGCAATATTCTCTGTTCTCTGTAAGCTCAAAATATTGTCGGAAAAATAAAACCTAATCAGGGAAAATTTAATAGTGCAAGATAGCACTAATTAAGATTGTTCAGAATCTAAATCTACTTCTGGGAGATCGATAGTATAAATTGACTACATAAACTTCTTTCCAGTGAACAACTGAAATAAACAAAGGAAACAGAGTAGGTGCTAAAACTAGACAGCAGTGCCTTCTACATACTCAAATTTAAATTGTGTTCTGAAAAGTGGAACAAAATTGGAAGCCATCTCAATGACTAACCTCTATCTTTCCTGCCCAAGAGAAGAGACGCAGAAATCCTGTGATAAACACTCAACCAGCTACAGGCAATGAACAAATTCTTGGGGCAGGGGATTGGGAGACAGAATTTGAAATTGGAGAGGAATCTACCCACAAGATAAATCTCAATATTTTTCTCAGGTGTATTTTATTAGTTTACATAGCATATTACACATATTATCCTAAGTATCCATGGTCTATCATGTTTCTCACTGTCAATGGGAAATCAGTTCATAAGGTGTTATATTGAGAGAATGGGTGGAATATTATAATATGTAATGAGTATAACCAAGCAATATTTGTCATGATTGTTTATTTTTCCAGTCATTGACTCTTGCTCCCACTTCTCAGGCTATTTCTATACTACAAAAAAGGACATAACAGTAAGCACAATTTCACTTATCAGGGAAGAAACTCTCACCTTGTGAAGTAATTTAGAGGTTTCTTTCCAAGGTAGCCTCTTACTCTCCAGCCAGAATCATCCTATGCATTCTATGTTTGAAGTCAATCCCTTTTATATCTGGCAGGAAAAAGAGAGGGAGAAGGAAAAAAAACAAAACATAAAGAAGGCCAGTTCTGAATTCTCTCTCTCCAGATGTCTGCATTGAGTTTACTGACTGGTTCAGCAACCACAGGCCCTACCTTGACTAGACTTCCTCACAATTGAGTGCTTCCCAGGTGGAGCTAGTGGTAACGGAGTGTAGGAGTGTCAGTGTAGGAGATATAAGAGGTGTGGGTTTGATCCCTGGGTCGGGAAGATCCCCTGGGGGAGGGCATGGCAACCCCACTCTAGTATTCTTGCCTGGAGAATCCCATGTACAGAGGAACCTGGTGGGCTACAGTCCATGGGGTCGCAGAGTCGGACACGACTGAAGAGACTCAGCACAGAGGGCAGCAAGGAAGCCCGTGTAAGTCTCACAGAATGTTCGAGTAGGACTGCAGGTGGCAGTGCTTCGGCGTTTACTCCTGCTACATGCAGTGCGCTGGAGTCTGGTTCTCAAGGAAAGAAAATGGAAAGATTTAAATAAAGAATTCACCAAGTAAAGACGAGTAAAGATGTAAAGGAACTTCAGAGATAACACCATGTAGATGTTTGGGAAGATAGCCTCACAGGAGTGCTTAAAGAATAATACCCCATCGTAGCCCTCAATTTCCCCAGCATACTATTAAATAAAAAAACTTGCTAAAGCATTCAGCACTGTTAACTGATTAGTGGATGATTTCCTCATCTACTCATCCTGGGACTTTGTGTCTAGGTTTGGCATCTTCTAGTTCACTTTAGGTTCCAGTTTAAACCAGTAATGTCACCATCACTCAGATGTCCACCCGCCCTCTTTTGAGTCCAAGTGCGTCTCCATAGTCCAGACCTTGCTGCTTAGGAGCCCCCTAAAGTGCTACACTCTGGCTGATAAAAAAAGGTAGAGAAGCATTTCACAGTTAGGAAAGTTATGGTTCATTTCCCAAAGATTAAAAAAAAGAAGAAACAATAAAACCTAGCTCATAGGGTTTTGATATTTAAATTAGATGATGAATCTGAAATGCATACCACAGTGCCTGACATAGAATAAGCTAAAAAAACACCATCTTTCTTTTTTTCTAGTGAAACCTGTCTTTTCTTCAATATCCAGAGTCTGTGACTTGTTACTACTTTTTTTTTCTCCACATTGGTTCAATGAGGGAAACTATAGGAAATTTATTTAATCACTTATTTTCTTTGAGACAGTCATTATTTTTCCCTGTCCTCTTGGGTCATATTCTTCTAGCTATATTAGTACATTCAGGGTGCTGAAAGGACACAGATGGAGCATTCAGAGGAAGCTTTACTTTCATTTACCTGATGAATAATAATATTATTTTTGGTATATTTATTAGGTGAAACTGAAAGTGAAAAGAAAGTGAAGTCGCTCAGTTGTGTCCGACTGTTTGCGACCCCATGGACTATAGCCCACAAGACTCCTCCATCCGTGGAATTTTCTAGGCAACAATACTGGAGAGGGTTGCCATTTCCTTCTCCAATTTATTGGGTATTAAATATCAAATTTCTAAATTGGATCTCCAAGATTGTCCCATTCTTCTTAACTGTTTTCTTTACCAATTTGTATCTACTTTATATATATTTTTCATTTGAGTCTTTTTCAGAAATATGCATTGCAAATATAGTTTAAAAGTCTGCACATTGACTTTCCACCCTCTTAGCATTGATATTAAACACAGACATTTTAATATATATCTTCATTTTCATAAGAAGTTAGCTTGAAAGTTTCATTTGTTTATTTTCTTAAACACTTTAAAAATGCTTTCCCTTGGTAACTTCTGTTGGTCTGGATGAGAAGTCAGGTATCACTGTTTTTTCAAGCTTCTGATAGCTCTTATTTTTTCCAGTAGATTTATTATCTCTATTTTTTAAATTAACTTTTATTGGAGTATAGTTGCTTTACAATGTTAGTTTCTGTTGTACAGCAAGTCAGTTATATGTATACATATATCCTCTCTTTTTCAGATTGTGCTCTATATAGGTCATCATAGAATACTGAGTAGAGTTTCCTGTGTTATACAGAAGGTTCTCATTAGTTATCTATTTTATATATAGCAGTGTGTATATGTGAATCCCAGTCTGCCAGTTTATCCCTCATATCCCTTTCCCCCTTTGGTAACCATAATTAGTTACCTGGATTCTATTTTTGTTTTGTAAACACCTTCATTTATAAATACCACTTTTTAAAATTCCATCTGATAAAAGAGATATCAGAGGACATTTGTCTTTCTCTGTCTGATCTCCTTCACTCAGTATGACAATCTTTAGGTCCATTCAGGCCACTGCAAATGGCACTGTTTTGTTCTTTCTCATGGCTGAATAATATTCAATTGTATATATATGCTGTATCTTTTTTATCTATTATTCCATCATTGGACATTTAGGTTGCTTCCATGTCCATGCTACTGTAATTAGTGCTGCAATGAACATTAGGGTGCTTATATCTTTTCTGCTTGTACAGACTACTCCATCAACTCTAGCAAACTGCCTGAGTTCTAATCTTTATATATAACTAATCTCTTATTTGACATCACTGATGGTCTGCTTCCCTGATTATACCTTAAGTGACACAAAGTCTAAGAAGAAAGGACTAAGAAATGATTTTCATAACGATTCCAGATAACTATACCCAGGTTTGTGATGTGAGTGTATTTTAGTGAAGCAGTCACTTTAAATTATTATGGAGCAAGTTTATAGCTTTAGACAAGTTTACACATGTTCTGTATGATTGATTTAAAGTCAAAAGCTCAAGAGAAGAATGTATTAGTAGAAAATTACTGTGGACACCTACTTCCAAATAACCTAGAAAGATCTTTGATTTACTTGAAGATTTAACTACAAAGTTTAATGAAGGGAATATTTATAGATTTGAAGGCAGGGTTAGGGAAAACAAAGAAGAGATGGGAAGCATCAAGATACTAGCAAGAGCTGAAAGCCTGTATCGACCTGGGCAGTCAGAGGAAACTCTGAGTGAAAGGGGAGGCAAGAGCTGTGAAGTGCATCCACCAGAAAGGAGTTGCAGGAGATAAGACGTGCTTTCCCAGTTCCAGCATCTACTGGCCTCCTGCTCAAATGGGGGACCCAAAGCAGTGGTGGGAGGGAGAAACCACAGTGATTCCCTGTCTTCTTCAGGCTCCAGTTCCTGCAGGGAAGGCCCACCTGGTTCCAGCTGTAGCCTGGTGATCCACCTAGAAGGAGCTTTTATTTAGAATTAAATCTTCTGATCCAGACCACAGATGAAGCAACCACAGGACTACCATTTCTCTTCTGGGATGTGCAGGTGTGCACTTCAACTGAGGTCCTGAAGCAGTGTGCTCTCTCTTATTAAGCTCTGGGGTTTTTGTTCAGCTTTTCCCATTACTTCAAGCACTGTGAGCTCCCGGAGAGCACAGAAGTACTTTGCAGAGTCTTCGAGCTGTAAGGCTGAAATGATGAGGCTGATGGATTTATCTGCTTTCTGGAAGTTTACAGAGTAGCGGCCATTCCTTGCATTCAGGTGTTCTGAATACTGATGAATAAGGAAATTCATCTCTCCACTGGGAAGCTGTTTATACCAAAAAATGTAGTAGTAGTCCGTGGTCCAACTTACTTCATATCGACAATTCAGGGTGACTGTCTGCCCCACTTGACTGGTTATGGCTGTCTGGACTTGAGTTACTTTCTGGGCCACACTGGATCCTATGGGGACAAAATCAGAAAACAGAGATGAAGTAGTAAATAAAATAGTGTGGGATTTAGACTAATTTAGGACCCAGAGGCAAATCAAATTGAAATTATAAAATGCTTCCTTTTCTCCAGTCCTCCTTCCCCCCCACAAGTTCCTGTGAAGCATCACGTGCCTGTGTGCAGTCCTTTCACCCTGAACACTCACACCCATGCTTGGAAGCATCCCTACCAGAGAAGGTGAAGGCCAGGAACACGCAGAGCGGGCTGGAAAGCTGCATGAGGTGTGGATTCCCCTGCACAGATGTGCTCAGTCCTGCCTCAAGCTGAGAGTTCAGTGTCTCTGTGTGCCTGGCGGCACATTTACATAGCACCTGTGTGACTATGTGTGACTCCTCAGACAGGAAGTGGGGGTTCTCATGTTCATAGATCACATGGTCTTTTTCACAGATGGGAAAAACTTTTGGCTCACAGATGTTTAATTTTCTTTCCCTGATTATTACGTTAGGTAGATCCTGAAAGGGTCATGGAAAAAGCAATTAGTATTATATGTTTGAGAGTTTCCCTGATGGCTCAGATGATAAAGAATACGCCTGCAGTTCAAGAGACCCTGGTTTGATCCCTGAGTTAAGAAGATCCCCTGGAGAAGGGAATGGCAACCCACTCCATTGCTCTTGCTTGGAGAATTCCATGGATAGAGGAGTCTGGCGGCTACAGCCTATGGGGTCCAAAGAGTTGGACACGACTGGGCGACTAACACACACACATGTTAAGGGTTTGAGCTGAGAGAAACAGAAGGCTCAGTAAGTTGACACACATTGATAATAATTTTGCCAGCCCATTCAAAACATAGTAGTATACACTACGAATCCTTCCTGTAATCTACTTACTGGTCATTCTGGTCATTCATTTAGCTGATGCTTACATTTCTTTATCCAGAATTTAATGACTCTTTAAAAAAAACACACAATAAAACAAACTCACAGATCTTTAGCTTTCTCATGTGTGTGCTGTGCTGCTGCTTCAGCCATGTGCTGCTCTGTCCGACCCCATGGACTGTAACCTGCCAGGGTCCTCTGTCCATGGGGATTCTGCAGGCCAGAACACTGGAGTGGGTTCCCAACCCAGGGATCAAACCCTTGTCTCTTACATCTCCTGCATTGGCAGATGGGTTCTTTAACACTAGCTCAACCTGGGAAGCCCTTTAGCTTTCTTGACAAAAGGCAGTCTTTTCCAAAATAATTAATGTATCTTTTTCTTTTCTCACTTGGTTCTAGGTCTTTGTTTATATTTTCCAATAAATAAAGTTACTTACTTCAATATCAAATGATAAAAAATCGCTCCTGACTTTCAGAATCTATTCAGTTGTGTGTGTTTTTTATGAAATGGTTAACAGGAAAAAATATTAATCTTTGAAATCTGACATTGAGTTTTACTTAATAGACTTTGAAGAGCATCAGTATATTCAATCCTCCTGCCTTTACAAGTAGAATTGTATTTATTAGATCAGGTGTCCTTAAATTATCCTCATGTCATATTTTTTACCCCAAAGTGTTCAGTCTCTCCTCTTAGTGCTTTGTTATTTTTCTCTGTAAAGTCAAGTTAAGCATGCTGAATTTTTCTGTGATGCTGCTACAGTGCGCTCCTACAAAATATGGTATCTGTAAACACTTAGTAAATGTTGACACCACGCTATTTGGTGACTGAAGTTTTGTATACTGTACATGAACATATAGAATGTCACTGTCAATCTTCCATTTGATTTCATTGTTTTAATAGATGAATTAACATAAAAGAACCAAAGGCAAATAGACAAGTAGACAAGAAAGTACAGAAAGGCCTAAAACAATGCCGGTTCTTAGATTTTAAAGTTGAAATAACACAATAGTGAGTGATGCAGGGAGGAGAGTTTATATTTAGTTGAGACATCTACTTTTCTGTTCCATTTCACCTCTGGGTGCTGGTAGGCAGCAGATGTCCTGGTTTCCAATCATTTATAACTAAATAGAGGACACCACAAATGCCCACAACAGCGCAGGAAGCAGCATGAAGGCGGTTTTCCCCCTTTGTTGATGTGGCCTTGCTCTGAGTTCCTGACAGTAAAGGTGCATGTTCCCTCAGCTGCATTATAGAATCAGACTCTGGAAAATGTAGCTTCTGGCTGGATCAAGTCTGAACATGCTATGATACTCAGGTTAGAAGATTTAGACTGTCCTAAACATTGTTCTACCTTTCCTTGTGATTTACTAATAAATGATAATCCCGGTAAAGGACAAGCCAGAGTTTAGTATTGAAGGACGAAATTGAAAGAGATTTTTTACTTAAAACTTCCAAATTTAGTAGTAAATTAATCTCTTCTAAAATCTTGGATGTTATCTAAAACAAATTCATTATGAATCATGCTGGGATTGCAAATATTCATTCATGGTCTGATTGTTCTCTTGCCTTTCTGATTTTGATTCTAAGATGAATTATACTAACTGCTCCCTAGTTTCCCTAAAACAGACCAACAAGAAGCCATGAGCTCCCTTTTCTTCCCACTTACCCACCAAATCATGTGAACTGGTAACTTTAGCGGATAACTTCAGAATAGCAAATATCACACAGACAAATGAACACAGAATAAGCTTCTGACTTCTGTAATCTCTCCAGTTGTGTACTGGAATACCAAATGGTAATGGCTGTGAAATCATATTCATTTGTGATGTAACTCTGTGATTAGCTTATTAAAGGTTTAAGAAGCAAGAACCAATGGGTCTTCTAAATTCAAATATTTGACCATGTTGCTGTCATGAATGCAGTTATACTCTTTAGTACAATCTTATAATTCTCATTGTAGCTGTCATGAGGACAAAACTTCTCCTAAAATGTTGCTTAATCAGTAAAAATATTAAAAGCTATTAACAAGATATATGTTTCCTAAAATAAAAATATTTCCCTTTCTTGACATTGAAGGAATGAAAATTCTATTTCATTTTATTCTGAAATTTCATCTAATGAAGTCATTTACATCAAATTAATCAAATTTCAAACATTTTATTTTTGTTTCAACACCTCATAAAGAAACCCTAATAAGAATAACTTATTCTTTTTATAATTTTCTTTATTTATTAATTTAGAGTGTTTTGGGTCTTCGTTGCTACATGGGCTGTTCTCTAGCTGCAGAGAGAGGGGGTCACTCTGTCGTTGCACTTCTCATTGCGGTGGCTTCTCTGACTGTGGAGCACGGGCTCTAGAGCACAGACTCAATAGTCGTGGTGCACAGGATTAGCTGCTGCGTGACACGTGGGATCTTCCTGTATCAGGGATTGAAACAATGTCTCCTGCTTTGGCAGGCAAATTCTTTACTGAGCCACCAGGGAAGACCTAACTGAGTTATTTTATAATAGATTGTCCTTGGATTCTCCCTGGTTCCTTCATAGGAATCCCCAAACTCACATATGAGGGCACAGAATTACTACTGAGGTTCCCAGATCTTCCCTAGTCCTCCCTCTTACATCTCTTGTGACTGTCTTCTGAAGCTCACCTTGCATCCCAATCTGGGTACTAATCCTATTTTGAGTTTTGCATATTTCATTCCAATGAAAGATACTCCAGTCCAGTAGTTATACATCCTATTCCAAACTTGTGATTCAACTGTTCAAACTACTAGAAAAAAAAAAAGTAAAACAAACATTGAGAGGATTTCCCTGGTGGTACAGTGTATGGGAGGTCACCTGCCAATGCAGGGGACATGGGTTCAATCCCTGGTCTGGGAAGGTTCCACATGCCCTGGAGCCACTGAGCCCGAGCACCACATCTATGGGTTTTTGCTCTAGAGTCCAAGAGCCGCAACTTCTGAGCCTGTGTGCCACAACTACCGAAGCCCGTGTGCCCTAGAGCCTGCAAGCTGCAACTACTGAGCCTGTGCTCCTAGAGCCTGTGCTTCACAACAAGAGAAGGCATGACAGTGAGCCTGTGCCCTGCAACCAAGAGTAGCCCCTGATTAGTGCAACTAGAGAAAGCCTGTGAACAGCAGCAAAGACCTAGAGCAGCCAACTTTTTTTTAATTAAAAAAAAAAATCTTTGAGAGCCAAGAGGGTTTACACACTGACATCATTAAAAAAATTTTTTTATAGTCATCATGCTGTACATTGCATCCCTAGGACTTATGTCTCTTATAACTGGATGCTTCTGTCTTTTGAATATAGTCATCTATTCCACACCCTACACCCCCAATCTATTCTCTGTATCTATGAGGTCTGTGTGTGTGTGTGTCTGTGTGTCTACACGTCTCTGTGTATGTATGTGTGTTCTTGCATCTGTGTCTTAGATTCCACATATAAATGATTTCATACATTTTTTTATTTTGTCTGCCTGATTTATTTCAGTTAGCATTGTGCCCTCAAGATTCATTCATGATGTTGTAAATCTATGAAAAACATTTTTTTACCATGTTTTCTTTATCCATTCATCTGTCAAAGGACACTTGGGTTGTTTCCATGTCTCAGCTGTTGTAGATGAACTGCAATAAACGTGGGGTACAGATATCTTTTTGAGATAGTGACTTCATTTTCTTCAGATGAATACTCAGAAGTGGAAATACTGAATATCATAGTAGAGGTAGTTTTAATTTTTTGAGGAACCTCCATACTGTTTGCCATAGAGGCTGCACCAATTTATATTTCCAACAACAGTGGGCAGGGTTCCCTTTCTTCTACATTCTTGTCAAAATTTTTTATTCCCTGTCTTTTTGATAGTAGCCATTCTGGCAGATGTAAAGTGATAGCTCTTTTTGGTTTTGATTTTCATTTCCCTGATGATTAGTGATGTTGAGCATCTTCTGGTTTACCTTTTGGTCATTAGTATGTCTTCTTTGGGAAAATGTTTATTCAGATCATCAGCCTATTTTTAAAACAGACTTTTGTTCTAATGATTATACAAGATATTTATATATTTTGGGTATTAGCTCCTTATCAGATATATGTTCAGGCAATATTTGCTCTCATTTTGTAGGTTGCCTTTTTGTTTTGTTG